ACGCTAATCATGCCGTCACCCATGTACATAGTGCCTTTCAGAAGGAGGCCGGCCGGCTTCACGGGCAGCAAACCAGTCACTTCCATGAGGCCCCGCTGAACTGTGCAGTAGGTCAGCACGTGGGCTACACTGAGAAACGTGGACTACCCTGACGCCCTGGCCAATGAGAGCTGCCAAAGCCGATGTGCCAGCCCCCTTCCTCCTGCTCCGAGAGAGTCGCTACCCACGGCTGCAGTGGCGAAGACCGTCGGCCAGTGCACAGACACGCACTGCACAATCCCAACGTTCAGTGTTTAGGTCTGCATGACCACACGGGCAATGCTGAGATAAAAGTCATCCGTATGAATTTAGTTTGTGGGGAAAATAGTTGACGAGTTTGCTTGCTTAAAAATAAAATGTTAAAAATGAATACTCTACATGCTGTTTCTAGAAGTACGGCTTACCCCAGACGTGTCTATTGCTTCACTCTGCTGTGATCAACTACAACAGACAATATTAGCCCCAAACCTGGCAAGCTGAAGCAAGTGCGTGTTTACGAGGCACATGTATACTCCTGCTGCTAAATCACAAACAGAAACACCATGGGATGGGGCTTATTAAAACACCGAAAAGCAGGTGTTTGTGTCCTAGAAAAAAAAACACTGGGAAGATTTCCCACAGCAAACCGGTGTCATCAGAGACTAGAAACTGCAGACACTGTTTAAAGAAAAAATTACGGGAGGGAGAAGGGAAACTGAGAGGAAAAGAAAAAAGATGAGCAGAGTCCCCCTCTCACACATCCCTGCTTCTCAAGGACCCCGCGCCCCAGCAGCAGCTCACAGTTAGCCCTGGGAGGAGCACCTCCTGGACGCGCCACACCCTTCAAAACACAGTAAGGACTGGTTCCCAGTGCGTGGTCCGGAGAGCCTCTGCAGGAGAGGTGCCAGGTCAGTAAGGACACTGGTTAAACACGGATGGAGACTCTCCATCTCTGGGGTGGAGCATGAGCAGCTGCTTTAACCAGCACCCTACAGTTAGAAAACCACGGACTCAGGAAAGGAAAAATCACTTTAAAATCAAAAGCAGTCCTTCCCTTCCCATCTTCCTTCCCCTCCCCTCCTGGTGCCCAGGGTCTGAGGCAGTGAGAGTGGGGGTGCCAACAGAGGTGTCCACTGCGGGGCTTTCTAAAGATCTGGGGGGCGGGGGGAGAGACGCAGACCAAGTGGCTAGGAGACGGGGCAGACTGAGAAAATACAGCTATCAGATCGGAGGATAAAGGGAGCCAGGCTTCTGTCGTCTGAGAAGGAATTTATAAACACAGCAAGGGCAAGGCTGGAGAGAGCCCTGACGCACTGGATTAGGAACAGAAGCACCAGTATGAACACGTGGGTCTTTAACACAGACACGGGGCGATACAGCAGCAGTCCCAAGTGGAGTGGACGCGCGTGCACGGGGCGCAGGGACACAGCCGCGTACAAGGGTTTCCTGACTGTCTGCCCTGAGGGCCTGCATGAGCTGATGCCCCACAAGTAAATGAGTGCTCCTGAGCGCCCCATCTTAGGCTCTAAATCCCACACAACACAATTACCGCAACTCCTCGGTGAGATGGGAGATCCCAGGGATGAGGCAGGGAAAGTACACAGTGAGCCTGGGAACGTTACACCAGGAAGTTAAGGAAGCGCTCAAATAATGATTGCAGAGGGAGCTGGGAGGGGCAAGAAGCACCAGGGAGAAACATTTATCAGTGTTATCTCCCACAAAATGCTCCTCAAAACCAAATTTTTTTTAATGACTTTGCACTAGAGAAACCTTGCAGACCAACCTCACCAAGGAGTCAAGGTTAACATCACCAGTGGCGGGAGGGGTCAGCATCCTCTGACCCTGCTGTGACCCTTGGCTTTTATCAGCACAGGAGGAAACCTGGATGGATGGGCAAGAGGTGGAGGGTCATCCTAGAGAATGAAGGAGCTTTATTCTCTAACACTGTCACAAAGACTAAAGAATGTTCCACCGGGAAGGAAACCAATGAGTTGTGTCCACTAAGTGTAATGCATGCTGCTGGACCTCGCCCCGGACCAGTGAGAACCGTGGGAAATACCAACGGGTCTGTGGGAAGGATGCTTGTGTTGCAGTACAGCTGATTTACTGACTGCAGAGAGTAGTGCGGGGAGGGGGCGACAGAGCAACTGTGGAAAAACGTGAAAAACTGGGAAATCTGGGTAAGGGAATGTGGGAGCAGCTCTCTGTTTTGTTCTAACACTTTTCCAAAGCCTAAAACCATTTCAAACTTTAATTAAAAAGGAAAAAGAAAAAGTTTGTTCTGTTCTATTGGAAGACTTTTCTGTTCATTTCACTGTGAAGTTACTGTTTCCTTGAGTTTATAGTTCAGTTGCAAACATGTTTTTAGGCTAAAAATTGTGGTTTAATCCCTCAGCCCGAAAAGCAGTTTACTTGCCATCAAATTATTTAAAACTTTTAGTACCAATATAAAATCTAATGAAACTGCACAGCAGGAACACGTAAGTTCCCATGTCAAGATGCCCCATTCCTACAGAAGGCATTGGTGAGAGAATTATGTACTCTGCTAGAAGTTCAAGGGCAACAGGCAGACTGAACTGGCCGGTGTAGCCAGGGGATGACACTGGTCAGGTCAGGCTGACTCTGACTGGTGCCGAGCACCGTATGAGCGAGCTACCCTACAGGGGTCTGGAACCTACCAGGGCAATCAAAATGCAGTTCCCGAGAAAATCATTAGTATGTAGATGAGTGAAGGCCCAGTTACATGGTGGGCAACAGTTACTCACTGTCTTTATTACAGGTCAAATCAGACAATGCCTAGAGATGGTACACTAGGGAGAAAGAAATTAATGTTTTTTTGGAACTCACAATAATCCTCATGAACTAATGTGATGAAAAAATTACAGATCTGTTCAACTTTCACTTTTACTGTTAAAAAAGCTATCACTGGGCACCTGGGTGGCTCAGTTGGTTGAGTGTCTGACTCCTGATTTCAGCTCAGGCTGTGATCTCAGGGTCTTGAGATCGAGCCCCATATCCAGCTCTGCACTGACCATGAAGCCTGCTTAAGATTCTCTCTCTCCCTTTCCCTCTGCCCCTCTTTCCCACAATTAAATAAATAAACAAGCAAACAAAATTAAAGAGCCTATCACTAATATTTATATAGTTCCTAATAAATTAGATCATCAAATTTACTAAAATACATTGGGTACAAAATTAAGAAGCATAATACAGAGGGGACTTTTTAAAATTCCATGGACAAAATAAAATCGTGCTAAAAAGGGGGGGGGGGGCGGGGATCTTTTGGATAAAAAGGTAGCTAGAGAAACAAATATGTAGATTTCAACCTTCCGGGCAGGAGGCGTGACCACTTTCTGAAGCAAGTATCACAGGCACTGGGGACACTATGGGATCAGGAGGCCCGGGCACAAGGACAGGAGAATAGCAGGTGCTCAGTGAAGCAGGAAGTGCCGGCTGAAAAGCAAACGGCCGACTTCTTCCCTACGACTTTGACAAGTGTGTTTGTAGCTCTAATCAAGGAAGACGTGGGTAAACTGAGGCTCCACTCTGTGCCCTGCCTTCTGCCAGGGTTTTGCAACATTTCTTACTCAGGTCTCCAGTGAGCTTTCATCTCAGCATACACGACTGTCAATGCCCACGATGACAGGAGAGTGGGGGACACCCTGCCGAAGACAAGCACGTGCCCCCACTCCCCTCCGGGAATTTAACCACCATCACAACGGCAGACTGGTCTGGCCTGATGACCACGCCACGGATGAGGTGGGCACAGGTCAGGCTCTCGGCACTCACTGCGCCTAGCGCGTGAGAGCACGCAGAGGCGGCATGGAGCCGGCCTGCCTGGGTCCACGTCTCTGCTCTACCTCCTGCAGCGACAGACCTGGCACAAGTCACTTCATCTCCGAGCCTCGGTCTCCTCATTTGTAACAGCACAGCCAACGAGGACACGTGCCCCAGAGTTGTGAACATGAAATAAGTGATCCTATAAAGTCCTCACAAAAAAGCCAGGTCCAGGGGCGCCTGGGTGGCTCAATCAGTTAAGTGTCCAACTCTTGATTTCAGCTCAGGTCATGATCTCAGGTGGTGAGATCGAGCCCCACATCAGGCTCCACACTGGGCGTGGGGCCTGCTTAAGATTCTCTCTCTCCCTCTCCATCTGCCCCTCTCCTGCTGCATGAGCTCTCTCTCAAAAAATAATAATAATTAATAAATAAAATAAAAAAACAGGTGCAGAAAAAGGGGGCAGAAAATAAGATAGGGATACATAAAGAGTAGTTTACCTTAAAATAATAAAGAAAATGCTATACTTAGATTTCTAAAACAGCTAGTAGCTTCAAACAGTGTGTTTTTGGGGGCACCTGGGTGGCTCAGTTGGTTGAGCATCTGACCTGGTTTTGGCTCAGGTCATGATCTCAGGGTCAAGAGATCGAGCCCCACGTCAGGCTTCCTTGCTCAGCGTGGAGTCCGCTTGAGATTCTCTCTCCCTCTCCTTCTGTCCCTCCCCCTGCTCGTGCATGCTCTCTCTCTCTCTCTCTCTCTTAAATAAACTTTAAAAAACAAATAAAACAGCGTGTGCTTTTTGATCCAGAACATGAGACGGTATCAGGTTTCCCTCCTTTCTAGAATGATTCATTCAGGAAAACTGAGTTCAACTAGACTGAATAGCATGCAAAAATATGTATTTCCTCAGTACATGCAAGCCAGAAAATTGGAATCTCACCCTAGCAGATGGAAATATAAGCACACTAGAGGAAATCCACAAACGTCACAGGGGCAGGAGAAGTGTGCTCACTGCCGTCCACCCTGTTTTACAGGAGCCCCACCCCCACCCGAGCACACACACCATTCAAAAGTCACAACCAAACTGCAGTTTAACGCGAAATCTATAAGCTCTGGGCTAGACAAAACTGCATTCTTTCTCCCCAGCTTTTGCTATTATGATACAAAACTGTTGCTTTGCATCTCAAGTGGAACTGCCCGCTCACCTCAGAATAAGCAAGAGTGATGTGCTCATATATTCCCTGATGGTGATGAATGGCGTCCTCCAGATCCTGCAGCTCTGAGGGAAGGTCTACCTCACCACAGGCTTTACACCACGAATCCACGTTGCTCATATACTTGTAAGATTAAGAAGAAAAAAAAAAAAGATTATTTCTATCAATGGCAATTTATATTGAGAAGTAGATTTTTTTTTTAATACGGTTTTGAAGTGAGGGTAGTTGAGAGAGAATCTAAGAATGCAGTATGGTTGAATCTCCATCTCAGATGGCACTACTGTGAGCCCTCAAACCATCCCTGGACTCCACCCCTGAGCTCTGAGGCCCACAGCTAGCAGCACATCCGGAGCAAACCTGCCCTCAGTTCTGTTTTGGGCCTCCTGGCTAATTCCCCAGCCCTCCTCCGAACCAGTGATGCCAACCACCCTGAGCCTCAGCCTCAGCTGGGAGCTGCCGTCCAGCCTGCCCACTTTGCTCTAACACTGAGATGCTAACAGAAGCCCGAGGGAGGTGGCAGACTAACTCACAGGTCTTTTCCATTTTGCATGTAAACAAGAAGGGAAGTCTCAGCTGGCCTGCCATTCCAACCTATCCTCAATTTTCTCCCCTGCCACCCTCACAGCCCTGGGATTCATCAATAGCAGAGAAATCACGGCCAGACTTCCCAGGGAGATCCTATCAGCACCCATCACAGGTAAGTGTCAAAGGCAAGCAGCAGACCAATTAAAGACGCTAATTCAATTACACCAAATAGACATGGACACATTTCCCTGGGCTTCACCTCTTTTACTCTAATTCCCTGGCATCTTTCTACGTTTACCAGGGAATGCAGAGGGTGACTATTTAAAATTGGGTGACTGACCTGCCAGACAGGAAACATGCTAGGATTCTCTTAAAATACATAGGATAATGACCTCCCAATTACTTATGACATTTCTAGAAACTTAAAATAGGACAGTCACCCAAGTAATAATTTGTTTATAAAAATCCTTTTATTATTAACATGCTGGCTCAGAAACATATCTGTATGCAAACCTTACAGCTTGAAAGCAATTCATAGGGCATTATGTGTCATATGATAGCATCTGATGGCTTCACCCAACACCGGCGCAGGGGAATAGCCTCTCTACGGCGCCTTCCGAACACCGTCAGACCAACAGAAGTAGGGATGAAGTTACTTTACGCCTCTCCCCCCTCATGTGACTATATACGCATATTTCTAGGGATTTTGTGTGTGGAGCATTCCATAAACGTCAAACAGGTCAGCTGAATGATTCTCAGTTTTCTTGATCTTGATTTCACTCCTCTTCCGTGACTGCATTTAACACCATTGTAAACCCTTCTCAAATATGGACTGACTCAGGTTAACCACCATCATTAATAAATCATCAGGTCAAGACAGCAATTAACTGCTCCTGCACGAGGCCACAGCGGCACATCCAAGGCAGAGTCACCATATACTCTTCAGAAGAGGCTAAAATGCTTCTGCTGCAACAAGGGCGAAACGAGTTTCAGTTATACAACACCACATGATAAGCAGAAGTGTCAGGCTCATATATCACTGTATCAAGATGACTATTAAAATATATTCAGCTCCAATTTTTGAACCAACCAGTAAAGAGAAACATTCAAGAAGTTTTATATATGCCTGCAGTAAAAGTAACTTATAATTTCTTCAAGTATCTGGAAAGGGTATTGATTATACTTACCTGAAAAAATATGGCCAGGTCCTAAACACATAAAGAAGGATGGCTTGCCATGAGGAAATCTTGTGGAGAAAGGGTTCTGCCCACCTAAATTCACTGGGTTAAAGTACCCCAATGACAGAAATAAACCCGGGCATGGTTTCACAGGACTTCTGTGTAAGCGCAATTTGTCTTTTGTTTGTGAGATGGCAACTCGACTCCAGAGGGCAAGCTCTAAGCCCCCATGCTTTCTGAAAGGCTGAACACCCAAAGAGTCTGAACCCACTGTACATGTGTGTACCTGTAATTTTAAACAGGTCTTATTTTAGCCAAAGAAGAGAAAATCCCTCTTTTTTGGCAAAGAGGGCAGCAATCTCCAATCAGAGAGCCAAAAAAGAAGGCGCTAATAGGTTTTCCCCAAAAAAGGGCATCCTGGTGGGAAAGTTCAACAGGTACCTATATAGAATAGAACCTCTCAGAGCCTTTTAATATGATAATGTGCACTGTGGATGGGGGGCAAGGGGGGCAGACTGGTGTGCTCGTTCCCCAAACTTCTCTGACCACTCTACTGCACTGCACCCTCCTCACCCCCAGCCCCTGCACGTGTACCATCTTGAGAAATACGGTTTGGGATTACAACTCCAGGGGAATATGCACTCTGTAAAGGACAGAGCAGAAGGGGGCTACCGTGCTCTAGAGAGAGGTCAGAGCAGCCAATTCAGTCTCTGATGCTTTAAATGCCCAGAATATGTGAATACACAGTATCCAGCGAGGCTGGACAGGAGAGGGCAAGAGAACTCATGCTTCTCCATGAATTCAAATAAGGAGCCGGCTATAGAACTGTGAATTCTGATGTTCAGCAGAATGGTGACTTTTTTCAAGTGTAGCTGAATACAAGATGAAGCGTCTGGCTCAGCCAGTTTGCAAAATTGAGGCAAGCAGTTGAGGGCAGAGTAATTAAAACACACAGCTTTAATGGGAGAGCTTGAATAATTAATTAGATTTGTTTTCATAAACATTTATTCCACTACCTTCCACATGCTGAGAGAGTTGGGGCTTCCAATTTGGTAGCTGCTCAGCTCCCTGGCCTGCTCTGCCTCCTCCCACCCCTCCCCCACCCCCACCAGGGCTCATGACGGGGCACAGCTGAGCATGAGTGGTTAGCCGATTTAGGAGACAAAGAGACAAAAACTGCCTAGAATGGGGATTTTTCAAATATTTAGAGGGATTTTCTCTTCTTTGGCAAAAATAAGACCTGTTTAAAATTACAGGTACACACATGTACATGTTTAATATACATATGAACTCAAACATCAGAGTTCTTTTCTTATTTCAATTTTTTATTTTCGTGTCTAGAAAATCTTACCCTAGAAGTTTTATATTTGCCTATAGTAAAGTAACTTCTAATTTACTACTTTTCTTTTTTATTTCATCCTTTTTGCTCCATGAGTATTCATCAGCACGCCCTCTTTCCTGGTTCCTCCGAGGGAGATGGGCTCTCTTCTCTGCCCGTGGAGATCACAGGAGTGAGGAGCCTGTTCCATTTGCGAGGCTCTGACAGAACCACCACAGTAACTTGGAGGAGACAGGCTCAACTTGAACCAGAATATGCCAGTGATCACGTGCCTTAAACCTGTTCTCATTAAGAACTTTTTCTTTGATTTTTATACATATTTACTCCAATTCCTTTCCATTCCATGAGAATCTTGATTTTGTCCACAAGCCAAGAGTTAGGCCTATGCTTTCAATAAAGTAAAATACCATTAAAATGGGAACAATTACATGTGTATTATTTGCCTTAAAAATTCAAAAAGGAATAGCGAAGTATTATTTTCCTCCGAGTTCCAACCCAGACTTAGGATAAAATTATGTGGATAACTAGGATAGGTCATATTTGCCATAAATGTTATTTCTAAAACTTTTTTTGTAAGGATATTAACCTAAGTGCTTTGTTGTGAAAGTGTTCTATTATGTCAGGAACTAAAAGACTGTCACATACCTCAACAGAAGTCCCAACATAAGTAAATCGCTCCCCAAACACAATATAAGGACAAGAACACCACAGCCCCATCTACTTCACTGGGCTGATTTAAAGATGAAATGACATTTTGTGTTAGAGAGCTCTGTAAATTCTAAAGAACTAAACAAATACTGTAGATTCCAAAGAACTATACAGATACTGGCTCTTACTTTATTTTTGGCTATTATCAAATTGGAGAGGCTCTCAAACTCACAGATAAAATGAGGTAATCAGATTGAAGGCTCACTGTAAAGGCATACCTTTATCAGCACTCACAGAACTTTCGGCAGTGATGGAAATGTCTATCTGTGCGGTCTGGTCTACAGAAGCCAGCAGCCACAGGGTGGACACTGTATGGCATTTTAATTTACTTTTACATTATCTTATTAACAAACTAAGCAATTTCCACAGCCGCATGTGGTGAGTGGCTACCATACTGGACAGTGCAGCTCTAGACCCTTTTTTTTTGTTTTTAGAAAGGCAGACACAGCACCTCATTTGGATGTGTTGGGAGTCTCCAAGTTTGACTACCCTCCTTTCCACAAATGGACCTGGAGGGTCTGTGTGGGGATTCTAGCAGGAAAGCACAGATCCTGGCACGCTCCTGACCGAAGACTATCCTCCTCTTTCGGGAACAGTCACCCTCTTGGGTGCAGTGTGCAGCTCTGGGAGGGACACACGTGGAGCGGGGACAGAGGAGGGGGAAACGCACCTCGCCAGCCAGATCAGTGGGATCAACACTGGCAATCAGTGGGGTGACAGGTGTCGCAGCCAGATCACCCTCACACCCCAGATCACTCTTTTTTAAAAAACTGGAGATGCAAAGTTGTAGTAAAATCAATCACTTTCTCTGGTTTTATAAAAACGTAATTCTAATAACATTAGCTATGAAAGCTTCTCCGTATGGAGACACCATCCAGCGGATAATGCCCCATGACCAAAAGAAGTGAAGGCCAGAGCCCCTGAACACCGTGTACCGGTGAGACTGCCAGCCTTGTGGTCCTGACTCCAAGCTTGCAAACAGAGATTCCGATTGTCCACAGGACGTCCCCAGAGTGGGAGAAGGCCTGAGAGCGCATAAACAGCCGAGACACCTGCAGAAGGCACGCTGTCTAATCAATGTTCTCCTCATCTAGTCTGCACCTCAAGATTTATGTTTGTAAAGCCACAAGCAAACCCCAACACCAGAACACCCACTGAGAGACCGCAGAGGAGCGTGGCTGGGCAGTGCAGGGCACATGTCTCCCGAGCTGGGAGCTGGAATCCTTACAGGGAAGGCTGCTTGCTTCGGTAACACCATGAACCACGGGGGTCCCAGAGTGGAGCTCCAGGCCTTCCTCATCAGATTTCATTTCTTACTGATACGTCTGGATGGGGTTCAAAGAGGTGGCTAAGAGGGCAACCTCACTTACGATGTCCAAGTTTCTGGTCTTTTCCCCCCTGAGCTTACGAAAACAGCTTAAGCATAACCGGAAAGCAAAGCACTTAAAAAAACAAAAGACCAAAGTTGAGCTATTTCTCTCCTGGGAAGAGGAAAAGTACTGAGTAGATGTGATCTTCCTTCACGCATGAGAATTTCAAGGATCTTACTTTTGTTCAGTGAAGCGGAAGATTCCCGATAACGTTTTCACCTGAGACTAAAGACACTCTGAACACTTTCTAATGTCCCATCTGCACATTTAGTTGCTTGGGCAGACCTCGATCGAGGTCCATCAGAGACGCTGGGCCCTTTCTTCACCAGGCCCCTCTGTCCCTATGATCATATCTGGCTTCTTCTCTGGCTACTCGATACACACAGAGACCTCAAGCACTCTTACAGTTTATGAAGGATCCCACAAAGTTGTGTTCAGTAATGTATTCATCTAGTTTAGTTTCCTTCAAATCCATAAATTACAGTCATTCATCTTATCCAAACGAAAATACCCCAGGCTCTTTTGATGCTGAATGTTTGAAAATGCCCCATGGCACCCACATTTCTAGATCATCTTCAAGCAGGTTAGAATAGCAATTAACTTCGGGGTTTATTTACAATTCTGAATCCTACCATGTTTATGAAAGAGATTTTCCCTGTGTGTTACTCTGCTTCAGACTCTCTGCCATTCACCCAGGTAGCTTGTCCTGTCTCACATTTATTCATATCGTCTTCATAGAACTTTCTGACAGCCCAGTACCAATTCGCACACCTGTACTTCCAGGGGTTGCTACACCCCCTAATATGTTACCATTCCAGATGACCTATATATAGGGACCAGACAGCTCATCCTCACACCCATGATGGTGTCCAGTGAACAATAAATATACCACTACTCAGGACAACGATAGGTAGCAGGGGTGAGCGTGGTGCTGTTCTCTGCTGGGGCGGGTTCCTGTTACTTTTTTAAAAAACCGGTTTTTGTGTGTGGGCTTTTGTTTATTCTTTATCATAAAACCAATTAAACAGGTAAGTTTAGGAAGGTGAAAAATCTTACTGTTGAAACCTGGAAGTCCCTATTCACAGCTTTCACGTGAGGCTACTAGGATTTTTTTCTCTTTATTCCCTTTAGTTCCCTCTCTTGCTTCACACTTGAAAGGTTTCTGGAGTCGAGATCACTGCTAATTGGGGCCTTTGCAACATTCTCATTGTCTTGCCAGAACCCTGGGCAAGCTGAGACCTTTATCTTACCTTTACTGACTTCACTCCTCGACAGGGACTGTTTCTAGATTACAGAGATACTATTTCCTTCTTGGCAGCATCAGTACAGATCCCTATGAATGCAGTCTCCCCCCAACACCAAAAAACTCCCCGTCAGTATTTCTCCCTCAAGGCAACCGCTCGCTTCTTCCCCATATGTCTTCCTAGTAGCTAAAAGCTCCTATGTTGTTTCTCCACAACTTGAAAAGGTATTTCCCTGCCCAGCACTTTCCACTACTAAAGTGTGAGTCACCAGCAAAGCACTTCCCTTGTGCAACTTCAGAGTGTTTGCTTCAGCAAGCTCACCGGAGGACTGCAGAGGTGTGAGGAGTGTCATGGGCACACATTATATGTTACCTCTTCAAGTATTCTGACCAGCACATCGGCAAATGAAGCCAATGCGAAGTCTGAATCCATGCAAATAACTTCATAAGCGTGAAAGACACTGCAAGCTGCCTACCCAAAAGCCACTTTTCAACCCTAGCCCCTGCTGGCAGAGCCGGCCTACTGCTGTGGAGGCTAAAAAGCCACACTCACCTCTTCCCACCGTCCTGGGGAGCTACAGCATGGGCCTGCACCCCACTCCTGCTCAAGGGGAATGGAGGCGAGGTGTGTGGGGACGAAGGGACCTTCTGAAAATAATGCTTCCCTGATAAAAGTGACAGGCGCCACCATCCCGGCTACAGCGGACACCATGCTTGAGGTGCAGGGGCTGTGGCACCATCTCTGTGGCCATGTCAGGAAGGCCAAGGCAACCCAAGAGGAGCAGACCCAGGCCTGACATCGCTGTATGGCTAGAACCCCCATACTTTGCAACTTCTTGTTTTGTGAGAAAAGCAAAGCACTGATAGTTAAACCTAATACTCAGGCATTATTACTTGCGGCCAAAGCATCCTATCAGAATACTAAAGTGACAGTACTGAGGAGGAAGGGGAGGGAGAGTGGGGAGAAGGGAGAAGAGGGAAAAAGAACAGTGGCTACCACTGATTAGTACCTACTGTATACCAGGCCACCTAATATGAATTATCTAATTTACATGAGAAAACACTCCTCTCAAGTAGATAGTTTTATTTCCACTTTACAGATGAGAAAACCAAGGAACAGAGAGGCGAAGTAACTTGCTGAAGATCGCACAGCACAGGGCCAGACAGCTGGGGTTTTTTAGCGCACAGCTGCCTGACTTCAGAGCTCATGTTCTTAAGCACTGTAGATGTCATACAGAAGTCCTCCAGGGATCGGATCTGGCTGCAGGTTGGGAGGGTACTGGGGGAGGACCTGTTCCAGTTACTAGCTCGTGGGCTGCGGGTCCCAGGCACTGACCTTTTCAGCCTTCTGGTGGAAAATGGAGGACATGTCCAGCAAGGTACTCCGCTCATCCAGGGCTGCCGCAAATGCCTTCCACTCCTGCTCCAGCTGATTCGCAATCTGCTTAATCTGCTGAGAGGCGTAGTGGCCAGACTCTACCAAGCGATTTGCCACCGACATTATGCGGTTTATATTTACATACACGTTCTGCAACAGGGGGAGAGAAAGAGGGCTTGTCGGGGAAGGCAAACAAGAGGCTTCCTTGTAGGAACCGCGGATGACAGCACTTTCTGAAACACAGCCCACTAACTTAAGTTCCATTTTTAACAGCAGAATCACCTGGTATAGAACAGTGTACATATTTGCTATCTGATTTCCATAAACTCTAAATATTGGTTTCAATTTCTATTTTTAAAACTGCAAAATTACAAATCAACTAGCTGAGAGGCAGACTGGTAGGCACAAAGTAATCATGTACACAAGTGGGTGCACACAAATATACTCTTACTCACTCGCTGGCTTCGAATCCTGACAAGGGTCCAGATGGCAAGCCTACTGAGAAGCAATCACCCAGAACGGAGAAAACCCAACACTGCAGCTTTTAACTAGAACCCAGGAACTACACGCTACACACTGAGCAACCACAGGCTGTTCTGTGTGGAAACAAGCTCTCCCGTCTACACGAGCCCAAGTCGTCTGTGTGGTGCCAACAGAGAATCTTCTGTAGACGGATCCACTTTCTCCGTGGAAGAGGAACGGACGCATGAAAGGGAGCAATGCCGTGTGCAAACTTTCAATAAAGTTTTCTACTCTGTGGAAATGCCCATCTTCAAGCCCACCAGTTTACTGCAAAAATAACAGTGTGAGGCTGAAAAAAAGTACCCATTTGTCCCTCAAAACAAGTTCTCACTATGCTATGTTCCCTTCAGCCTTCAGGCACCTTCGAGGTTGCCAGTTCAGCAGAGGCAGCTGTGGGAACGCACGCCTCAACACACCCCAGGTCTGTCGTTCATCACAACACTGCTCCTCTTGATGGGTCCCCCAAAACTGTACACACCTCATTGGCTCCTCCCAATTGTGCTGCTAAATCTAAATACCCAACCTGTCCAAACCTCTCTCCGTTTTTCCTGCCTCCTCTCCCCTCTCGCCGTGGTCCTCTGGGCCCCTCTGCCCCTACCACACACCCTGCACGGCCTCCTCGTGGTCCCCTCGTCCGCAGCCCACCCAGGAAGCCCCTGAGGAATGCACTTGTCCATTCTTTCTTTGTACCCTATCCTACTCATTTTTTCTCTCCACTTTAACCCAAATCAGAACTAGATGGAGTCACTCCGGGATCAGAGAGCCACAGATTCCAGCCTCTGAGCTCCGAGAGCCACAGATTCCAGCCTCTGAGCTCCTCTTCTGGGCACATCTGCAGGCTAGAATCGCCTAAGAGACGACCGGTATCTGCAGCAGCAGGGAGAGGGCGCCCGCGAAGCTGTGACAGTCAGCCAAGGCCATGGGCAGCGGGAAACTGGCCTCCCTGGCTCTTGGGGCAACAGTGCTCTAACTAGTGTCCTTTAGTCAAAATCGGTGCCTCCCCGCCCCATATGTGTTCTCACCCACTAGTTGCAGGTGACTAGAGTTACTGATTTTTGTTTTGTTTGTAACATTAAAGAGGAAAATCAACCCCAAAAGTGCTGGAAAGGGCATACGCAGATGTCCTCTGTTAGAATCCAGAGCAGAGCTCTCCATTCAGACGGCTCTGCCATGGGGACCACTGAGGACACCCACTGCCACCGAGGTTCTGTTACAGTGTCCTGCGTCACTTTCAGATCCTCACCCAGACTGTACTGAGTGTAGAGGGTCTGTGGAGGAGACCTTTCCAATCATTCCGTCACTGACTACACAGATAAAGGAACGTGGTGGCACACGGCCCAATAAACAACCCGTAAGATAGAATACAGAATTCCCTTTGTTAAAAGTACCTACCTCTAGTTCTTATCATCACAGCTTTTTTTTTTAGATTTTATTTATTTATTTGAGACAGAGAGAGAGAAAGCACGAGCAGGGTGAGGGGCAGAGGAAGAAGTAGGCTCCCCACTGAGCAGGGAGCCCGATGTGGGACTCGATCCCAGCACCCTGGGATCATGACCTGAGCCGAAGGCAGATGCTTAACCGACTGAGCCACCCAGGTGCCCTCACCACAGCTTTTAAAAGTATCTGTGATAGTGCAATGAGCAGAATTGTTGGCATCCCTTAACATGCTTTAGAGACTGTCAACTCTGTATATTGATATTTAGCATTTTCATTTTGTCAAAAAATGTTTAAAACACTGTAGGAAGCACAAGAAAGGCTGAAAGTTAACAGGCCCTTGCTCTGCATAAAGAAATGTCCTAGCTGGGTACCAAGCACTCATGGAGGGGTAGTGGACAAGGGGCCAGACAGGCCTGGAAGCTCCCCCGGGAGCTGCCACCAACCATGGCACAGGGTTACCCCGCTCTTCCAATTAAAACTTTAACTTAGAGGGGCGCCTGGGTGGCTCAGTCGGTTGAGTGTCCGCCTTCTGCCTTCAGCTCAGGTCATGATCCCAGGATCCTGGAATGAAGCCCCATGTTGGTCTCCCTGCTTGGCGGGGGAGCCTGTTTCTCCCTCTCCCCCCACTCATGCTCTCTCTCACCATCTCTGTCGCTCTCAAATAGATATATAAAATCTTTAAAAAAAAAAAACTTTAACTTAGAAAAGTAATAGAAGTTTATTGTAAAGAACCAGAAAACAGACTTAAACCTTAAAAAAAAAAAAAAAAAGGACATCACCCATACTTTTATTTTACTAATGTTTTTAATCGGTGATAACATGACTGTTAATAATTACCATTTATCAAGTACTTACTATGCATTCAGCACTATCTTAGTGTTTTACATGTGCAGAAGAAATAAAATTATGGAACTCCATGGAAGGCAGATATAATCCCCACTTTACAGACTAGGAAACTGAGGCTCGCAGAGACTAAACGGGACACCATCTGTGTAAATCCCTCCCGTCTGCTAGAATCCTCTTACATACAAGATACATCTGTTCAGACGGCATCTTACCATACAGTTCATGGCAAAGTGGTTGTGCTGTGTCTGGAGCTCCATCGCATGAGGATGGCTGGTCCCAATCTCAGTGTAGCTGTTCAGAAACAGGCCCTTGTTGTGTGTGATCCAGTCAAACATCTACCAGAATGAAAAAAGACAACTTTAAATCACCCCAGAAAGAGAGATGACTGGCGAAGGCTCAGGAGCAGGGCCACGCCAATCAGGGGCACTGTCTTTGCTCTGACAACCTCTCAGGCATTTGGGTCCAAAAGATCCTTGACTTCTAAGTAAGCTGTTCCGAACTTGCGCCATCTAGAAGAAAGTCTTATCTCATGTGTTCCTTCGACTGATGAGGAATTAAGGAACAGAGAGGCAAAGAGAGATATTCAAATCCCCCAGGCTAATTAAAACTAATCTTTGACTCTCAACCCAGCCTCCCTGCTATAATGAACTGCTTGACTGGCCACACTGTTCTTCAGTGAAAAGACATGTTAGGTGAAATCGGGGACTTACAGGTATCTGGACGGGCTTTGCTACGCTCACAGATTACTGACAGCAATTCCGGTGACTACAAGATCATATATGCTTTGGTGCAAATAGTATTTTAAAAACTGTGCAAATGCAAACCATAAAATTTACCATAAAAATAGGAAAGACTGGGGAAAAAATTTAATGATGACATCTCTCTCAAGGTTCAATACAGATGCTACCTGGGAAAGGATGTCAATTACATTGCTCCCAGGGACAACATGAAAGCAAAAGGAAATAACTATCATTATTTGGACTGGTATCGTGACTTGAACCAGAATCCCAGAGACAGTCAACTGATTTTTCTAGTAATTGAAAGGAAGATTTTTCCAGCGTCTTTGACAAGGCACTTCTTTCAACATAAGGACACTGACAGGTTAAAAGCTTGCCAAACAACAGTAGTGGACTGTCACTGTTTGAAAGGTCCTTTTGTATCAAAGATTTGGGATGTAGTTTTTTTTAACTTTAGAAAATATTTTACTGTCTGTGAAAAAAATTCAATGAGCTCAAATTAAGAGTGATCGATTCACCCGTGTTCATGGCTTGCAACAATCCTCTAAATTAAAGTGTCCTGTTTCCGCATTGCTAAGAGAGCTGGTAACGCGAGCATCCGCTTGGACCAGCTGTTTTGTCTGTAGCATGAGAATAAAATGAGGACGTAAGTAATCACCACCCATACTTCCCAGAAGCTATTCTTTTCAACACCTTATTGGTCTTTTATTTTAAAAGCATGGTCAATAATAACAGACCGGAATGGAGTTCTGTCACTGGCTTTATATAGGAGTGCGGAGCAGCTAGGGGCAAAATTACCTACGTAATTATTGCTTTCGGTAATATAAATTCTCTAAAGCTGTCACCCTTTTAACTCAAGATATCCTTCTCGTCTATCCTATAGGCATGCTAGACTGAACTGTCAGTAATGAAGAACTCACAGCTCCTGAAAAAGCCCTGGCCTGCACCACGAGGAAAGCTGGAAGGCAGACGGGGGGCAGATGGCCGCAGCGAACCCTGAGCGTGCTTGACTCGTCCTCCGCCCTCTCTCCCGACCGACGCAGCTCCCTCGCTGCTGGGACCCCAACGGTCCAGGAAGCCCTCCCCCTGCTCCTTTACCTTCTCAGCGTCCTGCTCGAACAGCCTCAGCTGAAAGCACTGGTCCAGCTTCAGTTTTCGTACATGCCACATCTGGTGCAGGTGCTGCCGTGTGGAGTGCAGCCTGTCCAACATGGCGGACACCTTGGGAAGGAGGCCCTGCAGGTCCGCATTGCCTGAGCCGGAGTTCTTTTTGGGAAAGCTGTCACTGCTCTGAATCCTCTGGAGCAGCTTCTGTCCCTCCAAATCCAAGTCTTCTATGGGGGCCTTAATCACCTTCTTCTTCAGCTGGGAATGCTCCTCGATCATGTTCCGAGCCCCCTCTAAATCCTGAGGCAATTCTTTCTTGGCTAGGATGTCCTGAAGTTCCTCCAGCCGAGAGAGCATGTGGGTTGCATTGCTAATGTAGTCTTCAAAAGCAACTCTGATTTCAATCCATTCTTCATGGTTGTATTCCAAGCAGCCATCAAACTCGGGAGTTAGCTGAGAAGGATCAACTACTTTGGTAAGGCCTTCTAAAGAGACCATATTTGTCTTAAGGGGAAAAAAAATCACGTATGAGAAGATGAACCAATTTTCTGTGGCCTTATCATAATGCAATGTGCAATACTTACTTACAGATTTTCAAACATAAAGCAAATAATCTCTTTACAGAAAACATACCTTGTTCTGGCCCCATAAAAACAAATGCAGATGAAAGAAACATTACCAGTATAGTCAGTGAAAGAGAAGTCCATTAGAACAACACGCTAGTTAGAATACCTAAAATTATAGGACATGTATCTCATGAGAGCTAAAGAAATGAGATGCTATCTTAGGCATGATAACCAGGAAATGTCTTAAATCGCAATACAGAGCAGATGATTTGGAAATTTTACTTTCATCAATGCATTCTTTCTCATCTGCACCACTCTACCATCTCACTCCCAACAGAAAACTCTGTAGAGGCCTCCTGCTCTCGGCAATCAAGCAAATGTCTTGCTCATGGGCTTCCAAAACCCTGTGAAGTGCCACCTCCCTCTGAGGACACATATTTGTGAGCTACTTATTCAGTGATAAACATGCTCCAACCAGGCTACGATCAAGGCTCATCTGGTCCTAACTCCACCTCCCATCAGGTAGCAGATGACAGGATATGAATGACTTATTGAAACTTTCTAAAATATACAAAGGTTAGCCAGCCAGGGAGGGCAGAAGCTCTTGCCATAAAGCTAAAGACAGAGGGAATGTTTCATTCATTTCAACAATCTGTCACAATTCTGAGTAGTAGAAGGGTTGTACATTCCAATTTGCACTACATTCCAATCTAACAGCGACCAAGTTTTAGTCCTTTACAATCTAAGCCAAAATCTTAACCTCACCCTACCTATATATACCATGTGCTGCAGGGTTATTATCAATATTGTGCCTCAAGGAAAACATGGGGGGTGGGAGCGGGGTCATTAAATGCAAAAACAAAGTTAAAGGAAAAAGATGTGTAGCCTAAGAACCAAAAAATAAAACAGAGAAAGGCTGGTTTAGCCCCACCTCTGTCACTTCCAGCCTTAGAGAAACCTAGGACTGCATCAGCTCCACGCTGGCTGGCACGAGAACCTGCAAAAAGCAACAGAGCTAGAAAGAGGGCTGCTCCTAGTCTTGCACTTTTGTTTGCAATGTGACTGTAGGTTCATTCCTGTCTCATCTGTCCAGACTTTTAATAACATCCATGGAGATGTTATTAACTTCAGAGAGAGACGCTGGTAACAATGTAGAGACAGTAAGTTCAATAGAAAAGCTGGTATAGATAATTTTAAAGGCCCAGAGGAAGATATCAAAATTGGACTAGCAAACATTTGTGTGCATTATATTGCTAAACCATTGTTTCTGCTTAAAACATGTATAATTAAAAGCAACACACTTTAAATTCGGCATCAAGAAAACAGTAAGACCCAATAAACTGTCATCCAAAATCACCTCTCAGCTGTGTGAAGAGAAAGGCTCACTGGTTTCATCTTTTACCTAAATCTCTTGAATGCAGTTTCAAATTCAAATTAAACTAAATTCAGATTTCAGATTGAAAATCACGGCAAGAGATTTAAAAATGCAAGTAATGCACATGTGAAAACACTTAGAAAAGTTAACATGCAACCTGAAACTTAAGAATTAATTTTGTGCGATGTGCATACTACTACTGTTGTTGTTTACCTTAACACACATGAATACATTCACTGAAACCTACTGTTTGGGCAAACTTGCTAGAAGCAGCACAAGCTACTCAACCAAAAATTATGAGATCTTGTAAGAAAACATTCTATTACAGAATATTACGGCATGAATCAAGTTTCAAGGTGGCCGGAATACTTTCTTCCCATAATCATCTCCTTACACTAACTGCATCAAAGCCCGGGCAAAGCCTTGGTAGCTGAAGGAGAGGTGACAGTGGAAAGGAAAAGAAGTTAGCAGGTTGAGGCTTGTCTCACACACCGTCTGAGAGTTGGCGACCTTATGCGCTGTTGAATTCAGAACTCTGCATAGTTTTTAAAGGAGTACCTCCCTTTTCATAAACGAGAGAACTGATGCATGAAATACAGGACAGATCATTCCCTCCATTATCAAGGACAAGGTGAAAACTCAAGTTTCTTCTGGACACGTGAAATTGGGTATCTCTCCTTAACACTCCCTTATTCCCAAGGCTAAGGCAATGATGAATCTGAGGCCGCATAAAGCCGCCTGGACTCAAAGGAGAAGCTGTTTTATCAAGAGAAGTAAGAGGGAACCTCTTTCTATGGTACACGCCTCATACCTCAGCAGCCCCACCACCCAAAACCAAGAGAACTAAAACCTAAATCGCCCTTGGGTGAAATAATCCAGTAGGGTAATGTGATAACCAAACCGAATTTTGTTGTTTTATGAATTAACTAATTTTACATGCCATATGTATGTAAGATGTGCAGTTCCCATTTAATATGTGGTTTTAAAAATCTATTATCTAAAATGATGAGGAAAAAGTCAAGTTTTAATAAACCATGCCTATTGGTTTAACTGGTCTGGCTACACGTGGAAGTTACCTCAAATTCAAATTTAGAACTGCCAAAATTAGTCCTCTGTTTCTGCCAAAAGTTGTCTGGCTTGATTATCAGTGCAACATGAATGCAGCAGGGAAAGGACTCTTGCAATATCTTCAGCAGAGGCTTAATGGAGTCCCATTTGGACCCACGCATGTCCACGATCACCGTGAATCCTCGCTTGCAGACCTCTTCACTAGAGAAAAAGGAGAAAAAACAGGTTTAAACCATGCAACTCTTTCTCTGGTCCAGAGTCCCACCAGGTGAGGCTGACTCTGCGTCCTTCATCCTGATGTCTGTGGGGCTGTCAGGTGGGGGTGGGTGGGATGGGGGGAGGGCAGGGGATTTCTCATCTTTTGTGCATTAAATGATCACACACATTGTCTAGGCGCTATTACAGCAAAGGTCCTTGGTGAGCGCTAATGGGGACAGACCCCTGAGAGTGTGCACCGAGCCCAGGTCGGGAGGGTAACAGACCAACACACAGCAGTCCCAGGAGCCTGCCAGGATCCCAAGTGCTGAAACCACCTGTACCTGCACTGGTGAGGGTGGGAGCTTTTCAGTGTCCCATTTTGTCCCCTTTAACTGGTTCAGGCCCTTGAGCTATCTCAGAGGCTCCCCAAGTATGGTTCACTGATCCCTAGGGGTCCTTGGTGCCCTTCTCGCAGGGTCTTTGGGGTAAAGGGATTTTCACAGTAATACTGAGACTTATTTGTCTGTTTCCCCCGGTTGTACTAGTGACACAAAGGCCAAGGTGGTGAGGAGGCTGGTCCTCAGCACCGGCCAAGGAAGTGCTAGAGCCTTTGTGTCCTGCCCCTCCACGTTCTGGTAAATTTAAACAAACAACAAAGCCAGCTTCTCTTAACAATGACCCTGATAAAGCAATAAAAATGATTAGTTTTACTAAATCTCAACCCCTGAGTACATGGGAAATATATGCAATGCACTCCTGCAATAAAGAGTCAAAGCGTCCTTGAACACAGGTTACAATACTTAGTCGCACTTGGTTAGAACTGCAGTGTTCATGTGGAAGCTCAGGAAGGCTTTGGCACAGGCTCACACTTCAGGAACAACTGGAATCCTGTTTTGTGGTGGACTCGCAGAGTCCACGCAGGCTGCCGATCCCTGCCAGGCGTGAGCCAGATAATGACTGTGGGAAGGTATGTGGGAACACACCTAAGACCCTGAGCGCGTAACGACAACTTTAGGTTTCACCCAGCGTGAATTACTGGGCCTAGAGGAAAGACATTGGACATTTTTCTGCCTCAGGTAATCACCTGAGAAACTAAAAACTATTTATAGTTATAAATTCATATAGTTTATAAATTAAAAACACAGAAAACTAATTGCTATCATTAAGTGATGTTAAAAAGCCAAAATAAATTAAGTCAAAATTAAAACCAGTTTCATGCTCTCTTGCATAAGCTCACTCCTTTACCCTTTCGCTCCCCATCCCCACAGGGATGCCCTTCTTTTCCTTATCTTGATGCTCGCCATCACAGTAACTGTCCTCCAAATTTCACAAACGTAAAGTTCCTGTCACAGCTACAGCCATGTAAGAGACACAGCACAAAAAAATTCCAAAAAGCAAGTCTGTGGGGCAAGAACCTGAGCAGGCGGCAGCGCAGGTCCTGGACACGTGGTGGGAAAGCCATCGCGAGGACACAGGCTGACAGCGGCCCAGCTTCTCACTCAAAGGTGGAAACTGCCAGCAATGGTTTGATGGACTCCTGTCTGCAACTCCATAGGAATATGAACTCCAAATGAGTTAACACTTGGCTCAGACGCCCCTCATGAGAGCGCTTCTCCATGTCTCCAGTGGGTCCTGGGCCACAAACCAGGGAACAGCACAGCATGGACCTCCTTCAGAGATCCTGGAAGCAAACAGGGCTTCCAGAAATGTCTCCTCAATTCTCCCAAGCCACTGAAATGAAGCATTCTGGGCCTCCTTGGGTTCTGATGGGGTGTGCAAGCTGGCACGACCAGCCAGAGCAAAGGGAGCCCGCCCCGGCAGAGACATTCTCCTCCGGACGCCCCATCTGCTGCCACACACCAGAGGCAGAAGCCCGTACGCCAGGCCCCTGATGGCCTCAGTGGGAGCTCTGCTAGAAGGACTTCAGACATCGGCCTTCACCAGATCACGGTACATTCTCGGGCAGCTGGGGTCTCTCCTCAGAGAGCGCCACACGCTGTGTACAGAACACAGCACAGCCCCCTCCCCTTGAAAGGGGCTGGAAAGGCATCCTGAATAGCTCCAGGCTCAACAACAGGAACACGCTAGAGAACACCACAACCAGAAGCTACCTGAGCTTGCACAGTTTACAAAAGGACTCACTATCCACCTTCCTCCACAATTGAACTGACCACCCAGGGACTTCAAAATAATGAAAATCGCAGGTGAACTGGGCTGGGAGGGCACATCCTTTCAATCCGGCTCTTTATCCAGTTAAAAGCCAGTCCTCGTTAAGAAAGCAGTGGCTTGCAAAGATTCGCAAACCCAGTTCTATTCAGGAGCAGCTAATGCACGTGGGCAGGTGTCTCCGGGAGAAGGCACGCATGCCACTCCTCCCCCCGGAAGACGCTGCTCACTGGGACACGTGACCATCAACCGGGTATTCTGGCAGCTTCATCTAAGAACCTCATTTTATCCGTGAGATAAAGAAATGTTAGAAAAAATTAAGGTCCCTTCTCAATGCTGGTCTCTGAAAAAGAGAAACGCTCTTTAGTTTCTAGATGAAGAAAGTATCTTTTAATACGAATGTTCATGAACGAATTAACTGAAGTCTCGCATTATTTCGCTGGTGACAAAAGAGAGTTTATCCGTGTAGCTACCATAAATCATTCTAAAGAAGGCAAAATGCTCTAAAACATAATTAGTATAAGTGTAATTCAAACAATAAGAGCAATAAACACCTAGAGATGTACCAAGACTGATGTTATTTTTATCACTGTGTGGGAATCCCAATTAGACCAGCAAGAAGTTCTACTGTGACTTGCTTCTCTTACACATAGTTAATGGAAAGTTTCCTTGCAAATTAATTCTATGAAAGTCACTCATAATTACTCCAATTGCTTTTATTTTATTTTTTTTTAAAGGAGGGAGGAATGAAAGGGAAGGTGACCCAAGTAATAATACTCAAACTACTCACTACTGCTCAGATCACACTTATGATTACCTCTGAGGGCCACATTTTAAGAGGCACACACACAGACAGATAGAGGCCATGCAGAAGAAAAACAAGATATCCGGGCTCTGAGCACATGTCAGAGGGAAAAATAAAAGAGGGTAAGTAGGAAAGATGGAAATTATTGTGCTTTTTCTGAGGGAGCTACTGGGCGTCAGGCACTGCACTAGGCATGTACGTAAGTGATCTTACTCCACACTCACAATGATCCCAAGAAGTACACATTACTATCACATTTCGTAGATCAGAAAACTGATAAAAGGAACAGCTGCTCTGAGTCTGCTGCCCATGTGTTCTGGATGGCACGCTTCTCCCCATCTGGCAACGTGGGGCCCTGTGACTGTCCAGCGAGGGGTGGGGGGGTGGGCAGCGAAAGGCCACCTTCACCGCACAGAAACTGCCAGGAGTAATGGGCAGGAAAAGAAGTCTCATGACCCCCAGGATGACTTATACCACTCTGGAACTATGGCAACAAATAATCAGACTTAAGTGCAAGCAAAGCCACAAGTCAAAAAAAAATTCACACACCATTATTTTGCTGACAATTTTCTTGGCCCTACTGCTCGGCTCTAACAAACCAATGTTCCCGCCACGAAGCACACAGTGGGACGGAGCAGCTCCTGCGTGGCCAGGGTAGACCCATGGGTTCTGTTGCCACTTCTCTCCGTTTGGACCACAGTGAAATTTCCCCATTAATCCCTTGAGAAACGTATCATTTACGTGTTAATCCCACTTCTCTTGTCATTAACCCAGGACAAGCAAAGTGACATTTCTTATCACCTGGAATTACAGATACAAAAGCAAATCTAGGTGATGAAGTGGCTGCGCTTGACCGGGGAGGGGTCACCCTACACGCTTAGTATTTATAAGAGAAACGATAGGAGGCTTGCGATTTTTTATTCCGGGGCGAAATTCAGAGAAAAACAAGATGGGCAAAATCTGGTCATCACTGAAGCCAGATGACAGGCATATGGATGTTTGCTGTGCTAGTTTCACTACTTTTCTGTATGCTCACCATAATGAAGTTCTGCGGGCTTAAGCGGGTCATCCAGATGATCCAAAATATACCTGAATCAATTCTTTTTACAGTATCCATGATATAAAAGAAATTTTTAAGTTGCAATCAACACGGATTTTTTTTAAACCAGAAAGCCAGTTGCCAAAATTATATATAGTCATTCCATAATGACACTAAACGACAAGTATCACTCCGATTGGCATTGTCCTTTGTATTCCTGTTTCTTCTTCTGTCATTAGGACAGTACCTAGCACACAGTCAGAACTCCGTAAGTGGTCCTTGTCAACTATACTGTTATTTATAAATGATAGTGAGTAGCACAGAACTTCTAAAGCCCTTTCTAATTCCATAGTTTCAACAGTTCAACTGCCTGCCCGAGAAAATACCAGAGTAAGAGGAGAGAGTCAACTTCTCCATATACGAATGCAGGGCTCTATTGCGTTGTCACTGATGATGCAAAGTGGTGGCTCTCTCATAAAGGATGACCACAGAGGAAAACCCAACAACTTCGTCAGCAGGTCAGGCGGTCAACAGCGAAAGCGGACTTGCCTCAGCCACAGCAAGGATGGGTCACGACCGGGCCCTGCTGTCTTCCCTGCTCGGTGTCAACCAAAGAACGTCAGCAGTGTCCCAACCCGCGTGCCATGCAGATGGACCACTCCCCTCAACCTCAACAATGCCACTGCCACCTTTTATTACTCCCTTGCATAAGCGTTCGTGAACATTACTGTCTACTCTAGCCTATGTATAATGACCGAGTTTTCTTCCACACGTCCTAGTTTCGTCTCTGAGGAAACGCCTTCTGGCTCTAGCACATCGATTATGCCCCCTTTAGTATGTGCCTTTCCTTTTCCTCACAGGGAAGCAGCCCTCCAGCCCAGACACACACAGTTTCTTAGCACAGGCATGACTAAAACCTTGGGTTATATCACTGCAGTTTTCTCTTTTCCAAAAAGTAATCTGGAAAATAAAGCTTTGTCTAGTCTTGGTGTTCCTCAGCATCCACCCGAACGACCACCCTATCATGAAGGGGGTCTCGGATTGAATGCGTGTTCCCAAACTTGGCATATTAGCCAGTAAAGATTCTTAATGCCTCACAAACCTCATGCCACAAATCAAGAGAATGCTTTTCAGAAACCGAAGCTCAGCGTGAAGACAGAAGTGTAGAGTGAGAAACAGGTTCCATTTCTGGTCTTGCAGGGCGCTGTGTCTTGGTATCAGATTCACCAAGGATGGTCCACCTGAGGCACCGCGTCCTAACCCCAGCGCCACCATCCCCCCACAAAGTGCTCCAGGCAAGACGCATACCTTCTGGTCCCCACACCCAGAAGTGTTGTGAACATGACAGAAGGGTCACAAAACGGAACTAAAGACAGGTGACGATTTTCATTCTGCACTGTCTGGTCTGCCTGACACTCCTGGAGAGCACAGCGCCGCATTTCTTGGAACGGTCGCCACAGGGACAGACCACAAACCGCACAGAACTCACCTAGGGATACAGGCTAGATAGGAAATGAGTCTCCTGAGGTCCTCCTGTCGTATTCTGTCGTGATTGCTGCGGGCCGGAAATGTTAGAATGGGGCCTCCCCGTTTATCTCTGCCACCTGAAAAACAAGCATTTGGATCACAGTTGGACAAAAGCAAGAGGGGACAGGACTCTGCACGCCCCTGGAGGTCCAACATCGCCACCCAACCGCTCGCGCTCCACGCTGTACCTCCTACAGCCGCGTGGCCGGGAACAAGCGTGCTATCGGCAGGAGCCAGGGTTTGGGAGGACATGTGGCTGGGCTACTTCATCCCCCCCCGGGACTCCGGAGAACGAGTCTGAGTGCTGCCTGCCACGTGGACGCCATTAGAGAAGGCCTCATCTTTACCTTCCTATGTGTCTCCTCCGACTTCAGTTTTACGTGTGGAGAACGTGTCCATGTGTACGGGCTTCGTTCCCCTTGAACACGGCCTCCCCACGCCTTACCAGGCCCTTCTGTCGTCCCCCACACTGCCCCCTCCTTCCCGCCCCGGCATTCTAAGCTCTCTCTTTGCTATCAGCCAAATCGGGTTTTAAGTCTTGAAGGAAAGAGACAGGAATGGACCTCAAATTTTATGCTGATGATGACTTTCTATCATCTGGGATCTAGGGCACCGTCCTCTCTTGAGGGCATCACCTAACCCCCGCGGTCAAGCCTCACCCATCTCTCACACAAAGCCGCACATACAAATAAAGAGACTGGCATTTAAGAATTTTTAAACAGAACTAAATTACCTTGAGTTTAGAAAAATTACATCACATACTAAGTACAAATCTCAGGGACTGTCTTGTCATAGAGAGGCGGATGTAGCCCTCATGAACATACATAAAATCCTAATGAGGTCTGTTGGTATCACTGAGTATTTTTGGTGAAATTTCCAGAAATATTTTATTACTCCACCAATGTTTTCAGAAAATAAAACAGAGGGGCGCCTGGGTGGCTCAGTTGGTTAAGCGACTGCCTTCGGCTCAGGTCATGATCCTGGAGTCCCGGGATCGAGTCCCGCATCGGGCTCCCTGCTCGGCAGGGAGTCTGCTTCTCCCTCTGACCCTCCCCCCTCTCATGCTCTCTCTCTCTCATTCTCGCTCTCAAATAAATAAATAAATCTTTAAAAAAAAAAAAAAAGAAAAGAAAACAGAGAAGGAAAATCTAGCCTTCCCAAGCGGATCCTTCCTTAGTTTCACAGCTCTGGTCATCTGTCTTCAGAAGTAGAGCAGTAAGACCACAAAATTCAAGTCACAACATGAAACTCTTCATTATTTTCTCATCTTATTTACTTGATTAGCAGAGGTAAAACTAAAAAGCAAGCAAACATTAACAGAAAACCAGATTCTTTCCTTTTAGAAAAGCCAAAAAAGGATTCAGCACAAGATACTGGTATTTTAAAAACATATTTCACCAATATGGATTTTTACAATTTCCTAGAATGAGTAATAGTCCCTCTGAACAATAACGAAACTCAATTTTGATTCTGAACACTAAAATGATCCACATGTACTGTTAGGTCATGTAACCTAGAAAAGTATTAAATTATTTATAAATCCAGTAATTCATGTATTAAATGGGAACAGCATGAAACCATAGCCACTGATACATGCTAGGTATGGTATTAAGTCCTTTACACGTGCTCTGATTTCAACATCACAATGACCCTGTTAAGAGGTTTTATCCTTCCAGCTTTATAATTAAAGATACTAAAGCTCAAAGAGCTTAAATGAAGACGGGGCAGGGGAGGATCTGGCTGCCTAGTCAGAAGAGTGTGCAACTCTTGATCTCAGGGCTGTGAGTTCACGCCCCATGTTGGGTGTAGAGATTACTTAAAATAAATAAAGGAAATTACAAAAAAAAAAAAAAAAAAAAAAGACAAGGGGACTATGTCACATGGTCACAGCTGGGTCCTTTGCCCTGAAAAAAACTTAGAAAAATTTTCAAACTAGTGGCTAGTTTGAAAATCTCTCTAAATTAGAGTAGTAAAAATGTCAGAAGGACAACTGAATGATGGTTCCTAAGCTTTTTAGTGAATGGAAGTTACTATTAAAAGTAAGCAGCAGTTCTGTTATAAATGCCAGAATGTCATCACCAAGTAATCTTCTTGGATAGTATTTTTAGGGTAAAATCAATGGCCCTAGTTTTGGGGGAATACTTCTTATCCCCAAGATAAGACAGGCAACAATTCAGTATTTTTTTTAACTCTCCCAACATCTTTGATACTTTCCAAAAAGAGAATCAGTCTCCTTGATCAAAAATATTGTGGATCAGGGTGCCTGGGTGGCTCAGTCGTTAGGAGTCTGAGGTCACGGTCATGATCCCAGGGTCCTGGGAAGAGCCCTGCATCGGGCTCCTGCTCAGCGAGGAGTCTGCTTCTCTCTCTGCCACTCCCCCTCACTATCTGCGCGCTCTCTCTCTCTCAAATAAATAAAATCTTTTAAAAAATATTGTGGAACAACATATTTTACAGAAATTTGAGTTCTTAAAAATACAGTATGAGATTTGGGTTAAAACATTTACCCCACTTTTGGTAAAAAGAATAGCATGTAACATTTTCCTTGACCACCATTCTGAATTTTTTAAATGCAACGTAACATTTGATTCAGTAGGGAGACTAGATGACAATGACCCATGCTCTTCTCTCCTCCCTCTGGGGTCATCATATCTCACCAAGCAAGCAAGGCATGCTCCACCATGGGTGCGAAAAGAAGACTCCAAAGCCTGCCTATCAAGGATGCTCACGTGGGCAATCAGCAGGTGTGCACACTGCGCGCAGCCGTCTGCTCACAAAGAAGTGTGCATATGTCCTGACGGCCTGCCTGCTGTGCTGCCCCACCTTTTAACTAGAGATTTTCCCCAAGCTGGTAGCGCTAATGGAGAGTCCCCTGAGGGCTGCCAGCAAGCTCATCCACCAAATAGGCTCTCACTTATGTCCTAAAGAAAAGCTTCCGTAAACCCAAATTTGACCTTTAAGAGGGAAAAAAAAAATCCACTTTATCTTTTTCCTTTTCCCAGAACAGAGCTTCAGAAAACTCAATAGAATAGTTTTAAAACTTCATCAAAAATCACTTATGAAGTAAAAACTGCATATTCTCTATTTAAATAATTTAATAATTGGCTTTCGCTTGCTAACCTCCCCACATCGGGTGCATCTTCCAACCTGTGGTGTCCTAGTCAGTGACAGGCAGGTGCCAGTCACCCATCTGCTGACCCCTCCCAGTGAGGTTTAAAAAAAAATAATCTGAGAACCGATGAGACACAGTATTAGTTCAAAGAAGCATGGTCTCTGAACCTCAAGGAGCCTAAAGTCAACGCCACGGATGCGTATTTGGATGGTGTTCTCCAAGATTTAACATGGTGCCGACGTCACAAACGCAGAAGGTACACAAATGAGAACACTGTCGGGCTGTGAAGCCGAAAAGTGACCACTTTAAAGTTCTTGTTCCTGAACTAGGAACAAGAACGATGCTCCAGCTCATCAAAGCTTCACCTGCTGGACCTACTCGGATGGACTGATGTCGACCTGCAGCCTCAGGGTGAGGCAGGTGGGACACACGTCAGTCCCGCTTTATAGACGGGAATCCCAGTGCCTTAGTTTCTACAACGAAAAGGGCAAGAAATCCATTTCCTGCATCTACCAACGTCCAGTATGTCTGAGTATGAGAGCGGCATAGTCTCTGGACGGCTCCATGTCTGTCATCAAAAACTAGCAGCTCGCTAAGGATTACCTGCACATCCAAATGCTGTTTTAGTCAAACAAAACAAAACAGAAAGCGTAGTTTTTGTTCATAACGACACTTTGATTTTCGATTCTTACAGTTCTCCCCATGCTACATTATATTTGTCAGGCACCTCTCACTTTCTAGTCAATTATATGATTCTCACAGTCTTTTCCTTTGTCTGTCCCGCCCGCTAAATGGAAGCTCTATGGAGGCAGGTTTGTTCATTCACTGACATCGGTATATACCTTCAAGGCCTAGTAAGAGACTGGAACAAAAACCATACTCAATAAGTATCTGCTGAATGAATGGATTCCTCATCTATATTCCACACAAAGTTAATTAAAAATACCTACTATCAGTATCAGGAAGTTAAAAACAGACATGCCTAATGAAATTTCCTATAGAAACACACATGTAGGGGCTCCTGTCTGGTGCGGTTGGTTAAGCGTCTGACTCTTCATTTCGGCTCAGGTCGTGATCTCAGGGTCTTGGGATCCAGTCCCGGGTCAGGCTCTGTGCTCAGCTTCAAGTCTGCCTGAGATTCTCTCTCCCTCTTCCTCTGCCCCTCCTGCTTGTGTTCTCTCTCTCTCTCCCTCTCAAATAAATAAATCTTAAACACACACACAGAGATGCTAAACAGACTGAGGTTCTTGTTAACATGAGAAGAAAGCAGCTGCAGCCGTCTGTGTGGCCCTTCCTTAAGCCCAGCGATGCTTATTTTCTCTTCTAAAAGGTCAAAGTCCAGAGGACTTGGGCTCTGGAGCTGCATGGCCCAGACTGACCACAGAAGCAGCTAGATTCAGAGTTGCCCCTTTTTCTTTAAATCAATTAAGAACTCACCTTTCATCCTTCTCTTCTAAGGCAGCCATACCTGCTTTGGGGAGTATGATGTAAATCTCAGTGAACCCACTGTATTTTTCTTGTATGGCCCTTATTTGAATTTCTGGATTACGATACCAGTGAAAATGATTCTTTATGCCTCCCCCACTCAACGAGCAGTCTACCTCACAGATCATGAAAAGCAGACTTTTACAAAGGAAGCCCTGAAAAGGCACGGTTTGTGAAGGAGCAATTATGGCTACAATCTATTAAGTCTGCTATCAACTAAGAAAACTCTGTTACGAAGGTGTTCACTGGGCCCCTGCTCCAGGAGTGGCCAAGGCCAGCAGCTCCACAGCCCCAAACCCTCCCATGCTCACCTCCTGCAGCCCAGTCCTGAGAACTAGAAACTGGCTTAGAGCATTTCCAATGGAGTCCCTAAGGGGACTCTTGATGGGGCACTTGGAGAGCCTCTGGCTATCCCCAGCCTTCCAGTCTGTCACTATGGCCTCAGACTGTGCCAGAGGCTAACGAGAATATCCCAGATGG